TTCAGCAGATGGCATAGCAGTTAAGGCTCTGGACTCCCACATGGCCTACCACGATTCAAATCCCAGACCTTGTCGCCTGAGAATCGCCCCGGTGTGTGTGTGTGTGTGTGTGTGTGTGGGTGTGTGTGTGTGTGGTGTGTGTGCATGTCCAAAATCCCAGGAGGAGAATGGAGGTGAAGAGATTATGCTGTGGCTATCTCCCCTGGGGAGGGTAATTTCTTACTTTCCTTCTCATCACCTCTCTCTGTCTCTCTCAAGTGGCGAGTACTCATGCCTAATGGCAAACTTTTTTAAAAATTTAAAAGTGAAGAAATACATTACAAAGTTTAAATCATTAAATTCAACAAATACTTTCATTCCAAAAATATAATAGACTATATAATTCTGCTTCTTGCAAGATAATTACAAAATTTATGTTAAAATATTCATACCCTTTGTTAGATGAACAGCTTCCTTCGTCCTGTCTGGAAAGATTCTGGCCTCTGTGGATGATGCCCGTGGGAGAACTGGGACCAGAGGGGCCTCTTCTTGCCTGCGTTGGCCCCATACCACCCCCACGACTCCACGTATACAGAGTATGCACTTTTGTGTGCATGCACATAGAAACAGGCACACACATGTACACACACACATAAACATGCACACAAGTGCACAAGCACACACACACGTACAGACTAAACTCAGACATGTGTATACGTATACATATACATGTACACACACACACACACACACACACACAGAATGGCTAGGCTTGGTGCCCAGCAAGGAGGCCATGCGGCCCTTGCTGCGTGCCTCCTTGGGAACCACATGTTGAGGCCATGGCCTGATACGTGGATCACCGGTCCTGGCCATGGGACACTCACATGGGAAAAGTTGCCTATCACACATCCACCAGAGAGTCTCTACCATCCTCGGCCTTTGAAAGGCTCCCCAAGAAAAGAAATCTGTTGAATGAGACGTAATACAGCAGTCCCTAACCACTGTGTGACATCTTGGGCAAGGATGATCCACAAAATGCCCTTCGCAAAGTGCGAGGCTAGAAGAGTTGTCAGGAGGCAGCGGATGGAGCAGGCCCGGGGAGGTGTATATGGGGTTGGGGACCCATGGCCCAGCAGCCGCGTGGAGGAGGCCAGGCTAGGCCAGGCCTGTGGGGGCTTCTTTCTCCAGGAACATCCGAGTCTGAGTAGGAAACACACAGCCAAGGTGGGCATAAGCCAGCAGCCGGGAGGTGAGTACGTGGGGTGTGCCCCTCTGTGTGGAGAGCATGGCGTGCGCCCAGGCTTAGGGGACAGGGCTGAGGGCTAGGCTCTGTGTGACCTGGAGGATGCCACAAGGCCTCTCTGAAAGGTTAGAGTGAGCCAGTGCAGGCTTGGTGCCGAGTCGACCACTCCATTTGTACTGCACAGCTGTGTAGCTGTGACGCTGCCAAAACACCTGCCTGATACCAGTAAATGTGGTCAAAGAAGCCCACTTATTTGCCTCAAGTCTCAAGCTGGTTTTTTTCTTTCCAGATTCGTCCACATCACCTGGGTCAGCTTTAAAAACATCTTTATTAACTGGAATGAAGAGCTTTCTCTTGGCGCCGTGTGTGAAGACTGTGCTGAACTCCCACACCTCTCTTACTCCTGGGATCTCTTTCTAGTCAACGCAACAGAAAGGAGTAGGACAGAAGGTAGAAGTGGCTGCTCGCTTGGTTTTGTTGACTGAGGAGAAAACTCAGAGCTATTTAGAAATCGCTAACGTTTTAGTAAATACTTGGTCTGACCCAGAATGCTTGATCCACCCTGTTGATTGATTGTGCAGGTTCCTGAGCCCCTCTCACTTCTGCACTCGTGTACAGGGTTGTGAGTAATCAGCGGAAGAGATGAGGCACTCAGCGGCTGCTTTTCAGCCTTGGCAGGATAGGGGTGGCTGAGCCCCACCTCCCTTAGGCAGTTTTATTGGTCTAAAAGCACAGGAGGAGGCCAGATCATGGCCCAGGAGTGACCCAACCTTCTATGAGGCTAAACTACATGGGAGGTTCCAGGTTCACACCCCAAGACCTCCCTGAACACTAGACACAAGTGTGCCCATGATCCAGGGCTGGCTGAAGCTGGGGGACTGTGGCATGCAAACCTGCTTGGGGGTGCTTTCCCTCTCTCTCTCTCTCTCTCTCTCTGTCACTCATGGAGTAAAGAAATAAATATACTAAAAATAAATAAAGAAAGAAGAGCACAGTAAGGTATTCTGAAGGACCTGTGATGTAACCACCATCCAGGGGTCTGTGTCCCTCACTCCCTGGCTGGTCTGCTGCACCGGGGGAGGTAAGCAGGGGAGCCCGGCAGAGGCCTGGTCCCGGCCTCACTCTGCACAACCAGCTGGTGACTTAGAACTCTCTAAGGTTTAGTTGTCTCAGGTGGAAGTTGGGGCTTGTACTGTCACATAGTAGAGGCGGGGTGAGGTAAGATGGCGCATAAGAGCCATGGGCACTGGGAGGGGCACTTGGCCCCTGGGCACTGTGAGACCTTTGGTCTCTAACAGGAGCAGGCTGAGTTCTTGCTGGTAGGTCTGGTTGAGAGATGGTTCAGCCTGGCCTGGAGCAAGCATTGACAGCCAAGCTTGTGCCAGGCCCCACAAACCTCCTCATTTTCTGAATCTATTCAGCGGGGCTATACAAAGCCTCCCAAGTAGAGCTCTAAGTACAGCTGGCCTCTGCGGCTCAGGGGAGAGAAAGACGCAGAGTGCATGTGTGCCCTTCGCTCAGAGAGGCGTTCTCAAATTCTTATAGCTAAATTGGATTTTCTGCATCAAAGCCCAAGCCAAATGGATTGGAGGAGCTTGAAGTGAAGACACATACAGTGATTAAATGTTCAGCAAAGCAAACAATTGGCCCAAGATTGACGTGTCTTGAAGATTCTGTCTCTCCCCTGACTGCAAGCCCAAGCTTACCTTATTGAGAAGTCATTTATATGTTCGTGGCACTTAGCTATTGATTTTTCATTGTAAAGTTGAACAAGAGCGTTTAGAATCATTATGCTGGATCCTGAAAGGTAGAGAGAGGAGACAAGGAGAAACTCTGAGTATCGCTGCCAGGGTTCCTGGTTTTCACCAGACCACTCTCTGAGGTCCACTCTGGACTGGGCTGAGCACCCCCCCAAAATGGTTGGGGATCCTGTGTCACACTTACATGATTTGTATCTGCCTCTGGCCTGTGTGTCCCCAGGCAAAAACCATGCTCTATGTCATTTATCTTGTAAGGTTTTCAAATTCATATCAGATTTGTTTAAAACCAATCATGGTCATGTGATCTGGAAGCTTTCTAAAAGCAGGTGTTCCTTGGTGCAAAATCTTAATCATATGGACTGTCTGTTCAAGCTCCCCTTTGCAGTGCAGTGGGGCTCCTGGGCTCCTCAGGACTTGGTGCCCTCCTGCAGTCTCCGGAGTCCGACACCACCAGAACAACGACACCCTCCTCACGACAGCTGTCATCCAAGACCCTGCATTGGCCTGCACTGCCAGCCACAAGGAGAGCCTCCATGGGGCCCGTGATCCATGTTTTCATGTTCTGGCCCAGGCACCTCTGCAGTCCCTGGGGAGGCTCCTGAGGAAGGACCATTAGGCCCAGGACCATTATCCCAGGGCCTGCCACCCTCAACCACTAGCCCCCCTGGGGGGAGAGGGCCCTCACATGACCCTGCCTCTCCCCTCTTTGGTAAGTGTCTCTGTCCATGCAGGTCCTCACTCTTGTTGAGGCACCAGAGTCACTTGTGGAAGGAGCCAATCCAATGGGTCAGGTGTGCAATGACATCAAATAGATCTTTAAGCCAGAATGTTACACCCACCATTAGCAGCTCTGCAATACTCAGTTCTTCATCTCTGAACTGGGGGAGCAGCAGGGCCCTTGTCCTGAGGCTGCGGGGGGTTGTGAGTGCCTGTGTGCAGCTTTGGGCTGTGGCAGCATCAGCCAGGTCCACTTCCTCATGGGCCCTGGCCTAGCCACCAACTGCTTCACTTTACAGCAATATTTCAGGTTGGATCCGAAACATTTTTGTGCTAGAAAATTGAGACAAGGTCATTGTCAGGCCAGCTGGTGGTGTGGTGGTTAAGGCACCTGGATCCCACATGGCTAACTGCATGGTTCAAGTCCCTAATCTGGTGACTTGAACAACATAATAGGTACATGTGTGTGTACAAAATCCCAATTGGAGAAATGGAGGAGAAGGGATTGTCACCTTATCCTATGGGGATGCTTTCTCATTTTCTCTCTCTCCAGGGAGTACACACACCCTATGGCAAATTTAAGAAAAAAAGAAGGAAAAAAAGAAAAGTAAACTAAAAGCTCTAGATGAGAAAGAAACAGAGAGAGGAAAGAAAGAAAGAAAAGAAAGAAAGAAAGAAAGAAAGAAAGAAAGAAAGAAAGAAAGAAAGAAAGAAAGAAAAGAAAGAAAGAAAGAAAGAAAAGAAAGAAAGAAAGAAAGAAAGAAAGAAAGGAAGGAAGGAAGGAAGGAAGGAAGGAAGGAAGGAAGGAAGGAAGGAAGGGAAGGAAGGAAGGAAGGAAGGAAGGAAGGAAGGAAGGAAGAGAGAGAGAGGGAGGGAGGGGAGGAGGGAGGGAGAGAAAGAGAGAGAAAGAAAGAAAAAGAAAGAAAAAAAGAGAGCAAAAGAAAGAGAAAAAGAAAGAAAAGCAAAATAAAAGCTCTAGCTGATCTGCCTCTCCCTATACCTTCTCAAAAACACTTTAGGGCCCTGCATTTTGGCTGGCAGGATGGATGGCTGTAAGCTCTTGGGCTTTTAGGAGAGGACAAGGAGGGGACAGAAAGTGACCTTCAAAGCAGGACATTTTTTTTCTTACGCGAGATTTTTTCTATAGGGCACATGTGGTTGCCAGAGAGACAGAGACAGAAAGCAAGAAATTACCCATGGGGATCTGGCCATGCCACAGTCCCTTCTCCTCCATTCTCCTCTTGAGATTTTGGACACGCCCTGCATGAGTTTTAAGCCACTGAGTCTGGGACTCATTCATTATGTGGGAGTCCAGCAATGCAACACTATCTGCTGGTCTCAACAGCAGGGCAGTCTTATATTTATTTTGGTCCTTGTAACAGAAATGAGTGAGATGTGTTCTTAAGGGAACAGCAGAAATCTCACTCCAAGGGAGGATGGGATCCTGGTGTGGAATCAGAGAGCCAAAAGTGAGCCTAGTCCTCCCACCCATGATGATCTGGGTTATTTTCAGAAACTGCACATCTGCTCCGAGCTCCAGCTCCTCTCAGGGAGGAGGTCCCAAGGTCCTGAGGATGAGAGTGGTTGGTCTCCAAGGGCATTTTGTAATCCACAGACCAACATACAGACTTTAGAAACAGACCAGGAAAAACGTGTGATCCATCAAGGGACCCGGCTTTAATTTCAGGGGAGTCTGGTTTAAAAGGAAACATTTTGGTCTTGTCCTTTCATGCAGATTTTGAAGCCTATTATAGTGACATCCAAGAAGCCATACCATCCAGAGGAAGACAGCCAGGTAACTGTCATGCTGTCATTTTGATCTCTTTCCAAGAGCCTGGATCTGTCCTCCACACCTTTCTCTGAAATCTTAATTTAGCAGGCCACTCTTTTCATCAAGGCCACTGAGAGCTCCCTGGAGTTGGAGAGAAGTTTTCAGTCCCTTCCTTGCTGGTCTAGTGTGGCCTAAACCTTGTCTCTAGCTTACCTGCCCTGCACTTCCATAGACCATGCTCCAAAGCCCAAGAGCAGCCCCAGGCCCACTGGTCATGGCACTGTCTGCCAAGCATGTTTCCCTCATCGTCTTCCATGGTCACGTGCATGGTGAGCACCCTCCCTTCAGGTCTGGTTTGACTTCCTGCTCTCTGAGGAGTATCACTCCACCTGGTCTCATCACAATCCCCATCAGCCAGTGTTCCTATTCCTGCCTGTTGGGAGCAGGTGACACCTGGCACTCACTGACTTTTCATGCCTGCCTCTTCCACTCTGCGGTCTTCAAAGAAAGCATCCATGGCTAGTTTAGACTCGTGTCCTCAGCTCTGTCACGGTGCCTGGCCCTCTGGAACTCAATGAATGGGTGATCAGTGAGAGATTTATTTATTTATCCAGTGAGTAAGTAAATGATTTATTCGTCAAGTGAGTAGGCAGATGGATGGTGAGTGAATGATTAATAAATTGAGAGAATAGACCAGTTATGAATGATTTATCCATCAAATGAGTAGGTAAATTATTTATTTGTTGAATGAATAGATGGATCATGAGTGTACCATTTATCTATTGTGTTAATGAATGGATGTTCAGTAAATGATTTACTTATCAGTCAAATGAGTAGATAGATGACTTATCTGTCTAATAAATAAGTAGAATAATGATTAATGAACTCTTTACTGCCAGGTGAATGGATGGGTGTGAGCAAATGACTTGTGTCTCTTTACTGAAAAGCTTCCAGTGTGGTCCTCTTCAGCTGCCTCTGACCTTTTTAGCCTTCTGCATTCCTTCTTGTTCATCCTGCTGCTCCATGTCTTTGTGTGGGAGAGCCAGTCAGGTGCAGCCACAAGAAGAGGCCAAGGGGAGGCTCGGAACACATTTATGATCTTCCCAGGTCCTACTAGACATGGGAGGCCGGGCAGACCCTCTCAGGCTGGTCAGGAGGCAGAAGATGGGAGCAGGGGAGTACCTAGGCCAAGGGCGTAATTGAGGCTTCCATGGGAAAGGCAAGGCAAGCAGGGCGGGTGAACCTTCTGGAACCAGCTCATCTGGGTGATTTCAGTAGGCCTCTGTGCCACCATGAGGGCAGCCCCTGTGGCCTGGCACTTGACTGGGATGAGTCAAGCAGAGGAATACCTCCTGGGTGTGCATACCAGAGAGAGGTCAGGCTCCCCGTGGGTGAGTCTGCATAGCAAAGAATTGGCTAGCTTCAGAATGAGCAGTCTTCCTAGTCAGAAAGACAGTTTTGATTTTTTTTTAGTTCTCAAAACATCATAATATACATAAACTTTACAAATATTTACAATACTCATGCATGTGTGATTTAGGAGCTCACTTTCACACCCGTAGTGGGCGCTTAATAAATGATACTGAATGAATAAAGAGCAAGTAGGCCTTTATCGTATGTTTAAAAGTTACTTTCCTGACAGGAATAATTCTGTTTCCCCAACATTTATTTGTTTTATTGCATCTTGTCTCAACAACCTTATTTGCAGTCTCACATTTAGCCTTCTCACCCTTAGTCCTGCCTCATTTCTCACCTGGGCTTTGCAGTAGGCTTAACTTGCCTCTCTGCATCTACTCTTTTTTTTTTTTGATTTTTTCGCTACACGCCG